CCAGCCCTCCCAAGTGCTTCTTGCTTAATGACTCAAGGAGAGCAGGGCAAATCCCAAGGTGGAGAGACATTGATCCATCTTGTCTACCCTGTGGGTGACTTGAGACCAGCACTCTTCTCCTTGGAAGGGTCAGGGATTGATCTCTGGGACTGGGGGACAGGCCTGCACAGCAGATCCCATACACCCAGGTCTCAATCACATTGCCTAGGGGCACAGAAGGGATATTTGTGAGCAAGTCTACTGAGATGTGTGTGATTGCAGGGGCAGATCAGCATGTTAGAGGGACAATCCTCCTCCCACAGGAGGGCCATGCACCTGGCTCAGGCTGCAATCCTGGGCACAGAACCTCCTGGTCCACATCACAACCAGGGGAGATCCATTGGCTTGATGTCCTGCCTTCAGGCAGAGGTCTGAGAGAAACTGAAATAGAGGAAGGTGGAAAGGAGCTAGGCCTGCCCCACATGCAGACTTTTTGGCTGAGTAGGGCCACTTCAGCCCCTCCCTGGCAGCTTTGCCCAGAAGAAGAGAACAGACCTTTGACCCCTGCTAACAGCTTTGTGGAGTTTGAGGGCAGGATCACCCAACCCAGCTCAACCCAGCCTCACTCCCTCACCTGCCTCCACTGAGGTGGAGAATGAGGACACATCTGGAAGTCCCAGGACCCCACCCACCACTTGAGGCACTAGAATGCCTCTCCAGAGGAACAAGAGCTGATTACAGGACCCAAAAATAACACTGCAGCTTGCTCCTCCTAGCAAGCACCTCCTACTGACCGGCAGGTCAATTTGCAAATCCTTTTACTGCATCTAAGGACTCATCATATAGGGTGTGGTCAAATTTCACTCACAAACATGACCTACTGGCCCAGAGACTAAACAGGGCATGTCAGTATCCAAACGAAAATCTAAAGGTAAGAAGCAACAGCTGATCCAGATGGGAAGTAATCAGTGAAAGAATTCTGGAAGTATGAAGAATCAAACGGGAAGCACACCCACAAAGGGGAACACCAGCTCTCTAACAATGGACATCAACCAAATTCAGAACACTAAAATGACAGAACAATTTTGAACACGTATTGTTAGAAAACTCAATGATATGCAAGAGAAAATGGATAACCGACACAAAGAAACCACACACACACACTCACACACACACACACACACACACACACACA